GGCAATTAAAAATATACCAGCCTTTTGAAAACGCTTCGTTGTAGCTTCTTTTGTATCGTGTCTGTATTGTTTGGAATCAATTACAAATGCCCAAAGGCTTTATTTTAATTATTTTTATCTTAACCTGATTGGTGCGGACAATGTTGTTTACATTTTTTGCGGCGGCCGAAGTTTCCAGGAGACAAGTCAAATCTCTTTGTTCCGTTTCAGATAGTGTTTTGTGTGTCGGTTAATCATTTTTCAGGGACAAAAGAGGCACTACTTTTCTAATTACTAGAATCTCAAAGTTCTTATCCAACTGATGCCACCAATATATCTTTCCACGGTTTTCTGTTGCTATCCACAGTCTTTCTGATCGAAGGGTAGATGTAAGAAACTAGCTCGAAAGTCTAAATTAAAAGCGGGCTAAACTAATCTAGGTCTTTATTTCCTATCAGTTTAAGACAAGAAAAAACATATATATAATTTGAAATAAGGTACTTTGTCGGCCAGTTAGAAACTTACAACGTTGTTACAGTCATGATCTGTTTAGAGTCGCGTGTACTGAGTTTGCGAAACGATTGACTTCTCACAGCTCTACTCGCACCGTTAAACCTCATTATACCTTTACCGGAAGACCTACCCGACACGGGCAAACGAACCGACGTATTAGTTTTTTGGTCCCAGTTAGGTCGATGTTTATATATCCCATTTTCAATGAGCTCTGCCATTGTTTTTAGCAGTGCGTATTTACTGATTCCAAAATCGACACCAGTCACTGCCTCCCGACCGCCATCGACCCTGCACAACATGTGCATGTAGAAGGCCTCATTTGAACAGGAGCTCTCAACAAAACCTGCTCGGCTTAATTACAAGGAAAGCATCTGTGGGTGACATTCGAAAGTATCTTTCAATGAAAGAATGACTGTCTTGTTTAATCAAGCATCTTTTATAAACATTGTTGCATAATCTTGTCTCTTGAGGAGAAAAACTCTCGACTACAAAATTCCGCTACAAAGATCACGTGAGTTGACGATAGTTCAAGGCCATCACGATCACGCGATCACGCAAATGCTGAATACATGCTCTCAATTCACTATATCATGCTCTCAGTTCACTTGATAAAATAACTATAATGAAGCTCGTATTACAGTTATATTCTTAAAAAAAGAAAACTAAAAGTCACACAACACGCGTACAAATCCGGTGGCGGCGTTTCAATTTGTAGCGCGCTGTTAAAATCTTGTTTTAAAACTTGATGTGCGTCGAGAGGTCTGTTACGATGATTACAACGCAAGGTGTGAAAACAGCGCGCGGTGTAAACTTCTGATTAAGATACACTTCCTTTTGCACTAAAGAATTGTGACTGAAAAGTAGAGCAGGTTAGAGGTCACTGAAAAAGTAGGACAAGCGATCTTGCAGATCTTGAAACTGCCGGATTTATTAGCTACTTGTAACAAGAAGCACCGATCGTGTATCTAGCTTAGGTTCACATTGGACATATAATTGCGACCAATTTTTTTTTACGGACAATATTTTTTACGAGTTTCATTGATTGCCTGAACCCTTGGGCTTTGCAAATATGGCGCTGTTTATGTCAAAGGTTGGCCAAACAATGCATTCAGAAAAAATGATCGCCTCGTCTCTGCTATTTGCTGCAACTAAAGACTGTGTTAAAACAAGAATTATTAGTCATCCCACAAGAGTCATGTTGACATGTCTAGGGTGAGCATCATGTTTTCGCAGTTGTTCCCACCCGCAATGAAAAATTTCCGGACACTATGGTTAGAACACTAAGATCTGGATATGAGCCAAGATGAGATTAAAACTCCGCTACAAAAATCAGCAACTAATCTGTGTAAGAGTAAATTGTACTAGTATATTTTTTCGCTAGTGTTTTTGTATGTGATTATATGTAATTTTTACCGCAGTCAGCTGGCTACGCCAGTATTTAACAGCAAATTTCATCCAAATTTATAACGCGTGACTGTTTGCGTGGGCCGGTATCATAATACCTAATTGTTTCCAATGAAGTACTTTGCGAGGAAGAATGGCTTGGAGAATAAACAAGCTTATCACCTGAATAGTATTGATATAATATCAAATTCTCAACTAAGACATTTTCAAGCAAACCACATTAGTATAAAGGTCTCGAAAAGGGCCGGTCAAACGCACGAGAATTTTAACACATTTTACAATGTTGTTTCACCACGAGCGTGCTGCAGTGAGATGTTACGAGGAAGTAGGCTAAACCCAGACGCTCGTAGAATTATGCGGAAACTTGAGGGAATAGGTTTTGCTGAATTTCATAATAGTGTCAACATATAACAAGTGCTCTCATTGGCTCCATGTGCCCTTGGAGCCTTGAAGTATGTGGAGGACTTCGAGTTGTATCGACGACGGCATTGTCAGATTCAAGTAGCTCTACTTCGGTGGAATATTAAAAGAGAAGGCAAAATAGATCAAACTTGGTCATGTTTGAGCAAGAGCAGACCAGAGGAATTTTAACTGCAAGTATTGTGCAGGAGTTAATGTTAGGAGCCACGGCGATATAGGGAAATGTCTGAACATTTGAAAACACCAAACCAAACTAGTGCGCATGCTCTGATGCAAAATTGGCCATCTCTCAAGCTTGATACAACATTTAACACCAGCGTCTAGCAACACAACACACACTGAAGAGAAACCAAACGCGTAAACACATCGTGGGCAACAAAGTTTTAGAGGGTTGCGTTGAAATGTTTCGTGCGTTTAGCCATGTTTTATGATAAAATAACAATTTTTCTTTGAGGTCAGACTGAGAGAGCTTAAGGGCAAAATGGAACCGGCGTCTGTCTGAATCTGTCTTGAAGGACTTTTGTTAATTCCCAATGAAAACTGCACAGCTGACCGCTCAGAATGTCTAATTTTTATGAAAATTATTAAATGCGTCCGTTAACTAACCTGGAAATAAATCATTGTGAAACAGGCCTGATCAAGCAAGAGTCGCCGAGATGGTTTTCCTGATAGTGATGCAAATTAAGCCTCGTGATTCCTAAGGAACAAACAACTGAAAATTGGGACTGATCGCAACTAGATTCTTTGTAAAATTATGCCTGAGTAAAAGCACATATAATGTTTGCTTCTGATAATGTTGTAAATTTAAAATGATACGTTTGGAAATACACTATGTTTTGGTGCATTTGTAAAAAGAAAAAATACATAAATAAATAAACGGATTGTCATATTGGTGAAAACTCAGAATACAACGCGAATAATTTCAAAATGCAGGCCATTTAAATTCCCATTATAGTTATCTAAAATAGACGTCGAGCCGATAATTTTAGCGCAAGATGGAATATAGGTTAATAGCATGCTGTCGGTCATGAATAAGGCCCGCTATTAAACATAGCTCTCTTTGTCAGATCCAACCTAAAGTAGTCTAAACGCCAGAGGTAGTTAGCCCGTTGTATCACGAGGCTGTCCGCACCAAAAAAGTTTTTAATAAAAAAGAACCGATGTTAAAATGAAGAGTTTGCCTTCGGGCATTTGTCATTGATTCCAGACAATACAGACACGATACAAAAGCAGCTACCGTCAGCGAAACGGTTTATTTTTTGTGTTGTAGAGATAGCGACGATAGCGAAGGCTAATTAACTTTCAACTCTAAGATGTCTTTTATAACAAAATAAATCGAAAGAAAAGAAAATGTTTGTGCAATTGTGACCTCGACATGAGAGTTTCAAAGTATATAAGATACGAAAAAGTTAAAAAAAAATGTCGTCATTGAAACTGGACCATTGTAACTCTGAGAGTCTCTACAATGTGTAGAGCAGCACTTGAAATTACTTAACATCAGGTCAGAGATCTTGAATGCCGCGGAAATTCTACTTCTGCGAAACACACGAGCGCAAGCGCCACCCATACTCAAAAACATAAGCTTTGAAGTGTAGCTTTATCAACTTAGCTTTATCAATATATATATATTTCTTTGTCCATCAGTGAAAACGTAGGTAACATTTAAGGATGGATCGTGTTACAAAATGCAACACCAAGACAAAATATTTTGTATGATTCTGCAATATAAAGTCGCAGGCAGGTATATTTGGTACTCGCGAAGCAGCGCCCCTTGATCGACAACATGATAGAAACTGGTTGCATTAACTTTTTACGAGTTGCAAACTTTGTCCAGTTAGCACTGCGTGACAAGGTCAAACGTCTACGAATTTACTGGTCTAG